AGCTAAAGAAATGGAATTAGTTGTGTTTCATCGATTTGAGAATATTGCGAATGAAGGTATGATTATTTATTTTTTCTTTGCTTCTTCAGTGAAAAATAAAGATATCTATGTGCTTTTTTGACATTACTACAGAAACTAACGAAGTCATGCATTTAATTATATACACCCAGATTTTGTTAGAACAGTTCTTGGGTTTTAAAAGTTCATTGTTGTGAATTTACAGTATGATAGATATTGTATCCATCACATATAAGCGATTGTTTTTGTTAAACTAGTAGTAATAATAATAAGAGATATCGTATAATATCGACGTCGAAGCTGTTTGCAAAATGGAAATTTCAAATGAATGTTGGAATAGTATAGTCGCTGTATCCTGTTTTTTGAAACAGTATACACATATTTTAAACGAGGTAGATCTTTGTAGATAATGGGTTTTGCTGTTCAGTTAGATAAGTATTTCTTGGAATAAGAAGATTAGTTGAAAATATGGCGAAAAATAACGTCTTTTTTATATTAGAACATCAAATTCCATCTTTCTATTAGATATTAGTTGTATTCTTCATCTCCTCACAGTCAAGTAGTTTCATAGTTAAATAAAAAATTAAAAAACAATCTAGCACAGAAAAATAATATAAGATTTTTGATAGAGGTATTATATGGTGAAATCGACTAAAACAAGCTTTTTGCACATAGCTGTGGTTTTTCCTGTTTCTAACAAACTTTGATATTTCTAGTTTATTTTGAATAAACATGCAAATTCATAACATCACTCTAACAGTTTAACGCTTTTCTTTGAAGTTTTCACCTTTACTTTTAGTTGATTCTTACAAATCGGATTTTTTCACCAGTGGTTACTACAAAGAATATGCTGTTAAATGAAAAGATAGAACTGGAACAATTTTAGTTTGTTTTGAGTATTTCTTTATTTAAAAGAAATAATGTAAAAGAATACATGCACACACACAGAGATAGATATACCAGAGAGATACACACCGTGTATCACAACACATATTTATTTCACTTCAATACAAATAAAGATAGTAGAGAGGAGAAGAAAGAAGTCGAAGCCCGTGATGTGATACCCAGTGATTGGGCGAGTACAAGTGTAAATACTGTGTACTTCATGAGTTTACTTATTACTGAAACATATACATAATGACTGTATTATATTGTATTGAGTACTAGTACTAAGTACAACTGTGCTACAGTAAATTGTGCCGAGTACCGGTACTACAGTGCAGATGTACTTAATATTTTGCAATAATACTATATTTTGCTTCTATAGGGATTCTGTCTGGTCATATTTAAAAACTTCATACTTCAGTGACATTTGTAGGAATAACGAAAATTGAATGTATTATCAATATAGTTCAAATACAGTATAGATCTACGTTAGATAATTCGAATCATGTCGAGTAATAATCTGTGTTCATAAATAAGAAAAATAATCATAATGAGGCTGAGTAAAAGGTTTATTGACGGGACACAGCAGTGTGTGTCCATTTCTAGAGTGTTATATTAAGACGTATCATCAATAGCTTATATTCAAAATTTAATTCATTTGTACATATAGCGATGTTTCATTCGAATTAATGCCAGAAATGACTACTGAACAATTGAAAATACATTTCGATTTTCCTGAAATTGATAATAATTGAATCAATGGATATCAAAATTTATATCGCCGGAATCATAACGGCAGAACGAAGATCTTTAGTAATTTTACAAAACAACAAAATAATATTATGTATAGTTATTCTCTGACATGCGTTAAAAATAATATACGCCACTCTCATTCGTGGTTCAGTTGGAAAGAACGATTTTATTGAACAAGTTTTTAATTATTTACTAATACCTAGAATTTAAAAAGACTCCTGAAATGTATGACTAACATACAACATATATGAAAACATTCAGAGAAGAAGTTTATTGAATTATACAGGATCTTATCAAGTACATATGCACTAAAGTATTAGTACTTAGTACGACTATACTAAAGTAAAAAGTACGAAAGTCCTAATATTAAATAAACTAGTCTGGTACATAGTGTATGTACTTGTACTACATAAATGTACTGAGTACTGTAGATTTTTAAGTAAAACGTACGAAAATACTTAAGTACTGTATTAAGTATCCAATCACTGGTGATACTTTTACACCACCGCTTACAAAAGGATAAACACAGAATTTCTGAAAATAGTGCATGAATACTTCATACCATAAACAACACCTTCCACAAATGGATCATTTAAAAAGTTTGTCTTTCTGTTAGAAAAACAAGTTCATATTTTGGCATTAGTATTGAATTTGTAGTAGCATAATACAAATCTTGATAAATCTCATGGAACATACGTTTCCGTTCAGTTTCACTCTAGCCTTGTAAATATTCATCAGTTCTGCACTCTTCTCAGAATCATCAACAATCATTGTTAGCGTCTGTGTGATTCACTCGACGCTAATCTAGAGATTAAGTTGGTCCTTTCAACCTAATTGGTCTAGGATAACTGCCCGGATAGCAGGAGGTGTGGGTTCGAATCCCATGAAGGTCACTTTTTCTCCATTTTCTCTTTCTTTCATTTTCTTTCTCTGATGTCCCTTTCATGACTCTAATACGATCCTAATAATCATGTTCTACTGAAATAAATTCAACATTAATACCAAAATCTTGAAGTACTTTCTAATATTAATAAAGAAATATTAAAATCAGTTTCAGTTAATGCAATCTTCATACTAACTCAACATCCTCAATCAATTTTCTTGTTAGTTAAAAAACCAATCACACGAAAAGTGTGTAAAGTATCGATATCAGATATCATTTGACCACTACTCTCTCGAATTATAATCTAAAAATCCTCTATCATTCTAGCACCAGCATCATTTGCACAAGCTCTACTATGGCATAACGAATCTTTTCATTTCACTCCTCACTTATTTCAAGTACCAGTCTACAACATGCCTTTTGTTTATTCTCTCCACTCACATCATACTTTATCAGTACAACATCTTCGTTATGCTCTCGAACTAATCGTTACAAAACATGAATCTCTTCGAACATCACTCATCTTTGATACACACAACAATCGACTCATGCAACAATTCACTGACTTCAACCAAAGTCAAAATACATTATTTTCATTTATTGAAAGCACTTACACAACACATGAACAACTCAATCATATCCTACACGAAGAAAAATATAATCCTCATCTTCTAAATCTTGCTCAAGGTCTTGTCTTTCGATGTAATCTTGTGTATTATAACCAAGTCTCTTCGAATGATCATCTTTCGGATAAAGATGTACTTATCTTCAACTTTCACCATGCTCAATTTGATTTTCCATCAATGGAAATGTTTCTTCATGATCTCAATCAAGCATATACAACAAGTCATTTATTATACGATGACAACACTCTTCTACGTTATCTCGATTGTAAATACAAATAGCCCTTGTACATTTATCTTTTCTCATACATTCTTTTCTTTACTTATATAGATGCTGTTATTGAACAACAAATGTCAATGACTGGTGCAAGTATGTTTTGGCTTGAT